AATCGGAAATTGCTTGGAATTATTTGGAATTATTGAAGTTATCTTTGGATTGTTTGGAATTACTTGTAAATTACTGGAATTTTTCTGGAATTGCTGAATTTTTTTTTAATTGCTGGAACTCATTGAAATTTGAGTTACCTGGAGTACCAAGTGACCGCTGAATTTCAAGGACATTAATGTAAAATTTCTTTTCAAAATCAAGTTGAATTACGGAAAATAAGTTGGAACTACAGGAATTAATTTGGAATTACAGGAATCAATTTGGAATTATGGGAATTAATCTGAGAAAAAAATGGAATTACAACGAATTATTGTAATTACTGGAATGTTGATGGAATTTTTTAGAATTACTAGAATTTCGGTGGAATTTTTTCGGAATTCGAATTAATTAATTAATTTTGCAAGTTAACAGCCCCTCGTTTAGAGTTAAGTTGGGTTTTAAATCGCTTTATTTTAACCTGGGGAATCTCGGGTTACCCTTGGTTCCCATCTTTTTGTTACATTCTGTGTTTGTCTGTCTAGACCTGAAATATTTGAAAAATTAAGTATTTTGTGGCAAAATTCGTGTGAAACTAAAATTTTCCACCAATTACCGAGACGCCAAATTCAATTTTGTCGTAATTGCCGCTAATGAAGGTTTTTTAAGACTATAGTCTAGTGTTTTCTATTTTGACACTTACAAATTGTTTAGCCTAATTTTGCATAATTAGAGCCACTGTAAACAGCTAAAAAGTGATTTTAGTGATATTTTTGACGTCAATATGCTATCCTAGTAGGCGGTATTCCTAATTGTTATTTAAAGTGTAAAATTCAGGTTCTGGTAGGTAGACAAAACCAATTTTCATGACGCAAATGTGACATAAACAACCATTTATTATATTTTTGTATTTTATGACAGTGTAATCTTATCCTGTCTTGCATAATCGACGAACATAAATCTATTTTGGATGTGAAAATCGAGTTTTTTTACCGTTTTTTTTTTTGAGCGAGTGAAGGAAATAATTCATCTCATTATTATTAAATAGGTCTAATAATAGCAAAATCCCAATAACGAGGCTCCCGCTCAAAAGATCTCGTTAATTTATAGACACGCAGACTAGTCCTCATTATAGACCCTGGGGGCTTTAATCCAGGCGTCAATTTTCCCCCAAATCTCCCAATAATTAAGTTACCGGTAGCCCAACACAACCATCGTAAATATTAATCGCTTCCTGCCCAAGTACAACATACCATCGTTCCATGGGTGTTGGGTTACAAAAACCCGTCCTGCTTGTCTCCTCGTTAAATATTTCGAAGAACCAGATTGGTATCGCTGTCGAAGGGCCACTCCAACAGGTACTCACCCCGCGACGTGGTTCATTCCGTTACCAAGGCAACGATGCATTAGAGAGAAAGTAGGTCCAGCTGCAGGCAGGCGGCGGTCTGCTGCCATTCCGGGGACGGCGGACTGCCACCCCCGGATTTACGTTGTTAGGATTATCAAAACAATACGCCTACATGAGCAGGTCGAACACGGGGAGCTCTCGATGGGGAATTTCGGGTTTGTCCCAGTGACCCCTGAGCGCTGGTGATCGATACAGCCGTTTACTCAATGAACAATTTCGGTTCATTGTGAACTCGATTCTGTCACAAACTATTCATGCCACAAAATTACGCTTTTATTGAGTTGGCAGTTGTGAAAATTCGATATTTTGCTTAATAAATAAGAATTTTTAAGAACAAAGAATTGATTTTTCTTAAAGAGTCCATTTGTGAATCAAGTCGGCTATTGAGATGCAATATGTCGGAATTATTTTTCAAACTGCAAAGAAATTCTACAGGGTGTTCCGTTTTTATTGTTACAAATTTAAACAGGTGATAGGATATTCAATTCTAAGATAAAAGTTTCCTATAAACATGTATCGAAAAATGCTTGGTAAAGGAGCTACACCCCCTGAAAGGGGGCTAATAGGTTTTTGCTAATATCTCAGAAACCATTTAAGATAAATTACAAAATTTGGCACAGATGATAATCTTTATACACCCAAACGAATTCAAACATCAAATTTCGAAATTTTTAATCAGGGACGTCTATTTTGGCTCTAGTTTTTTTAGTTATGCATTGACCAAAATGGAGGTCACTTTGCACAACTCCTTTAGATTTAGGCAAATTCATTTCATTAATGTTATTATTGTTACTGTAATGTAATGTTAATTAGTTGAGGTTGATTAAAGAATATGAATTTCTTGTTTTTATTATTCTGTAAATTCTGATATATTTGAATGTTGTATTGGTGTGTAACATAAATTTTAAATTAATTTTATTCAAAAACAATAAGTCGTATCGACACAAGCGAGACTTTTCTGTGATAAATTATCGAACTTAAGACTTTGTTGCTGAAAGTACCGAGAAACTAAAGCCAAAATAAATAGGGTATTTTTTTACCTTAAACTCCCCCAGTTTCGTACGCCCCTGATTAAAAACTTTGACATTTGATGTTTGAATTCGATTAGGTGTATAAAGGTTATCATCTGTACCAAATTTTGTAATTCTATCTTAAATGGTTTCTGAAATATTA